AAATCTGGAACTTCGTCTGTGGTAAGGTAAGGAGAAGACACACAAAACACAAGTAAATTTTAACAATGAAATTTTAATTACGTTAAAGAAATAAAACATGAATAAAATGGTCAAACAAATTCGTATAATAAAATCAATCAATCAAAATAATAAGAATAATTAAATGACACAATGAAAAGTTACGTTAAGACAAGTGAGCAAAATAACAAGAAGTGCAATATACAAGTAATGAGAGGTGCTGGAATATTGGCTTTAAGCTATCACCTCTCTCAGTACACGTACGCCAAAGCTTACGTCTAGCAGGGAGAAGTGTTAACTGTGAAAGCACGGAATATTCTGAGGACTGAGGTCGTGGCGGCCCCAGACATCAAGTAGTATGGGGGGGGTGGAGTGCAGTTGCAGCCCGACCAGCGACCAATCAGAGGAGCCGGCAGCAAGACGGGTAGTTTGGCGGTTTGAGTTTCTCGATAGATATCATCGATAGATACAGCGATAGCAGGCGGCTTGACGTTTGCGAGGCACTACACATCAAGAAGTCAACACCAGCAATCAACAGCCAATTATTGCACAACTATATTCTACCCACCTCAAGACTCCGCTCCAATATAGAAGCATCAAGAAATATGGACCAATAGGCTTTCTACAAACACTTCTATTCAATACCCATTGTTTCTGTTCTGTCTTGTGTTGATACTTTTAATACCCTATTAATATCCCCTCTTGTTCTGTCTTGTGTTAATGCCACATCACCCCTCCCACCTCACTCAAATGTAGATATAAAATCAGAGATACGTAAGTTCTAATCAGTTGTGTATTTGTGAAGTCTTTGAAAATGTAATAAGTTTTACGAAACGCGCCCGTGTCGCGTCAGACTAGAAATAAAAATGAATTTTGGAGAAGTGATTTTTTATTTACCTCCAACAGTGAAGCGTAATGTACGAAAGATTGAGAAAATTCGCGTTAGAATTATTAATCTTACTTTTTCGGTCATATTTAATAATATATATATATATATATATATATATATATATATATATATATATATATATATATATATATATATATATATATATATATATATATATATATATATATATATATATATATATATATATATATATATATATATATATATATATATATATGTTTCATTGAATATGACCGCATATTCTGTATTTATTATTTTCTGGTTTAGGGCTTCTATCCCTCTAACTATTTTCTTAGCATCAGGGCTTAATTGAAATAGGAGTTCTCCAAAACTCATTTTCGTACTTTTAAGGTGAAGAAAAGAAGTGATTTACTATAGAGTGTATTACACTTATTTGTATAATTACAAATAAACGTCGTGCAAATTATACAAATAAGTGTAATACACTCTATAGTAAATCACTTCTTTTCTTCACCTTAAAAGTACGAAAATGAGTTTTGGAGAACTCCTATTTCAATTAAGCCCTGATGCTAAGAAAATAGTTAGAGGGATAGAAGCCCTAAACCAGAAAATAATAAATACAGAATATGCGGTCATATTCAATGAAACATGTTTGAAAGAAAACCTGCTGCCAGTATACACCAATATATATATATATATATATATATATATATATATATATATATATATATATATATATATATATATATATATATATATATATATATACTTCTATATATAGTATATATATATATATATATACTTCTATATATAGTATATATATATATATATATATATATATATATATATATATATATATATATATATATATATATATATATATATATATATATGTCGTACCTAGTAGCCAGAACTCACTTTTTGGCCTACTATTCATAGGCCCGATTTGCCTAATAAGCCAAGTTTTCATGAATTAATTGTTTTTCGACTACCTAACCTACCTAACCTAACCTAACCTAACTTTTTCGGCTACCTAACCAAACCTAACCTATAAAGATAGGTTAGGTTAGGTTAGGTAGGGTTGGTTAGGTTCGGTCATATATCTACGTTAATTTTAACTCCAATAAAAAAAATTGACCTCATACATAATGAAATGGGTAGCTTTATCATTTCATAAGAAAAAAATTAGAAAAAATATATTAATTCAGGAAAACTTGGCTTATTAGGCAAATCGGGCCTTGAATAGTAGGCCAAAAAGTGAGTTCTGGCTACTAGGTACGACATATATATATATATATATATATATATATATATATATATATATATATATAATGTCGTACCTAGTAGCCAGAACGCACTTCTCGGCCTACTATGCAAGGCTAGATTTGCCTAATAAGCCAAGTTTTCCTGAATTTATATATTTTCTCTAATTTTTTTCTTATGAAATGATAAAGCTACCCATTTCATTACGTATGAGGTCAATTTTTTTTATTGGAATTAAAATTAACGTAGAGCTTGACTTTCAATGACTGTAGCTGTATACCTCATGAGTGTCCATATACATTGAAAAGGTTGTGACTGATACATTAATAAAACTTAGTGGAATATAAGGCATTGCCTAACCCTGTAACAACAAACAAACTTATTGGATATATTAAGGTTATACAAGCATGCAATTGGCCAATCAACACGCAAAAACACTTATTATACTTATGTCTGAGTGCCGGGTATCGTCTGACAAGTGGCCAGACTGATAACATACTTGTACTGATTTGACACTATATTATATGTCACAGCTTTGCTGTTGGATAAGATAGGTGATGGTGGAAGTGGCGTCACTTGGTGAATGAGCTCCACTCTACACTCTTATTTAGATAAAGTACTAGGAATTTTTCCTTGTAGATATTGTCTAGGTATTCCCCCAGTTCTAGAGAGTAATCACTGGTGATAAAGATATGTTATTATGGTGTCATTTACAGAATAATGTTTGTAAGGCACCATATCACATGATACCTGGTTGATGGGGTTCTGAGAGTTCTTCTACTCCCCAAGCCCGGCCCGAGGCCAGGCTTGACTTGTGAGAGTTTGGTCCACCAGGCTGTTGCTTGGAGCGGCCCGCTGGCCCACATACCCACCACAGCCCGGTTGGTCCGGCACTCCTTGGAGGAATAAATCTAGTTTCCTCTTGAAAATGTCCACGGTTGTTCCGGCAATATTTCTTATGCTTGCTGGGAGGACGTTGAACAACCGCGGACCTCTGTTCACTGTTTTTTAAACAAGCGCTTTCTGCCTCGGGGCACCCCATAGGTCGCTTCACTCCCGAGTTGGCTCCGCACTCTTCCCTAGAGAGGGTCGCTTTCACTGCATATTGATTGATTATTTTTTCTGTCTAGATATATGACTGAGATTGGATGTGATTATAATATAAATAGGTATAAGATTTAATGATTATAAATATTACTTGCTAGTACTATTGATTTTTATTAAGGATTTGATTTAATCCTTACTGGAAATCGATTGATTGGTCTAATAGTTTTATAATTAAGATATTCTTCTTGAAGCTACTAGATCCTTGAGAAATTGTGCACAAAGTTACGTAGACATCTTGGGCCCCTATAGTGTAGTGATCATTGGTGGCATTGTCCTGTAGGATATAATGAATCTGTAGTGATTCTGAGATGATTTTGATATTGACTTTGATATAATTTAGATATGATATATAAATAATACATTTCTTAGATAATAAAATAGATGTAGTAGGTAAAATTTCCCACAGGGGAGACTTATGTAGCACCATCATAGTTGCCAATACAAGATAATACAATACAAGGATGGCAATAACAGAGCAAACACGCATATGGCGAGCGATATCAAAGGTGCCTGATTCATCGAGGATTTGATCGAGGGACAAGTGACTCCGAGGGACAGTCGGGAAGCAAGACACACACACATCCTGGAAGTCCAAACTTTCAACAAGGATGTACACGATTGTAAGAGAGACAAATGCAGTTAGGACAATAAGGAGCAGGGCGGCGCTCCATTAAGTACCCATGAATTAAACGTGTATGGCCAATACATAATCTCGCCAGAGTTGTTTTCCACCGCTGGTTACGGTGGTGGCCAAGGGGACATGCTACCGTTAAGAGCAAGCAGTTTGTTACCAGTAACAGATGACCAGCGACCCTGCCAACGGGCACGGATTGAGGAATGAATGACTGGGTAGAAGTCGGAATAAGGAACACGTTTCCTGAAAATGGGACAAGTGCGAATAGCCTCCTTAGCGGCAGCGTCCGCACGCTCATTTAAGGAAACACCAATCTGGATAGGAACCCAGAATATCTTGACTGTTTGTTAAATCTTATGGAGATAAGAAAAAGCCAATGTTGAATTTCGACTCCCACAGAATGGACAGGATTAAATGACTCCAGACCCACGAGGGCACTGCGAGAGTCAACTACAATAACAATGGAAGATTGACAGTGAGGAAGCAGTTGACGAAGAACATACAAAATTGTATAATGTTCTGCCGTGAAGATGCTAGCCTCCTGGGGCAGGCGGCACATATAGGTGTGGTCTGGAAATACAACGGAGTAGCCTACACCGTCGGCAGACTTAGACTATCTCTGAGTCTAAGTCTGTATCCCGTGTAAGCATAGATCACTTGAATGACTCTTGATGTGGAAAAAGGCCTGAATTAGAAGGCGATCATACCACTTGCTCTCAGTTAACTATAGTCTACTTTCTACTGGACATTGTGGCTTTCTTTATTTCTGCTTTGTGACTTTCTACCTTAATATTGTGACTTCATCCAACACCAGCTTAGGGTGCGTAATGTTACTTAACTTGTATAACAGTGCCCAAGATAACATCTGTAGCTGTTATGTTCCTACTTAATAAATGTAAAGTTTTCTAATTAAATATTAACCTCTAAATATTCTGTCTTAACAACCGTCAGTTTCTTGCTCACTGGACACAATTATTTTATAAACAATTTTTGTATGTTAATGGCACTTCAGTGTTAAATAATTGTTGTATTTATTAATCAAGGATGGAAATCATATATAACTTCATCACTTTAATGTGCAAGTTCCTTGGCTCACAAAGCATTTATAAATAGTACAGGAGACACGTGAGTATTGGCGTGGCAACCTTTGGTAGGCATAGTGTTGAGAAATGCTGAATGAGTTCTGGAGAATCAGATGTTTGGTTATCTAACTAATCCTTCTTCATTGGATGTGATCCACTTGGGAGGAAGCGAGATGCGATGAACACTTCTGGAAGTTCCTCAGAGCTGGCCTGATGGTGGTCACAGGAGGAGTGTCACACTGACGTGATGGAAGAGTATCTTTCTAGTTGCGGACAGATCAGATAACCTTATAACTGTGGCATGAAAGTTCCGCAAGCTGGGAAACCCTGAGGGACTTGGGGCAGGTCTGAAGGATTACCAACGTGCAATACAGCAGCCATACCGAGCTCCGAGTGGAAAGTCAAGTGGCAGTGCATCAACCACCAACCTAGAAGGAAAATAATTAAAGTTAAACCTTGATCTTACATTTGTTAGAAGCACATAGTGGATTTACCTAATGTATTTAAACTTCATAATACTCGTGACTACAGGAAAAATCCCTGTAGTACTTTTCTCTGTATTCTCACGATCAACTTGTTATAGCATTCAGTGATATTTCTGCAGTTTTGGATATTAAAGTCCACATGGATATTCAGTGAGAGGCATCCTACGTGTATAATAAGGTCAAAAGGGTTCTATTTAGCACTCTGATGACATTCCTCGGGTAAAGACGTTCCAAAGTGATTATCAAAGGATCGCGCCAAGCCAGGGAGACTATGTAGCACCATCCAAGGTGCAGGATATTCAAATTGTGGTAAATATCACTAAGGATGCCATATGAGAACAAAAGCACATAAGGCGAACGATGTCAACGGTATATGATTCATCAAGTATTTGATTGAAGGACAAATGACCGCGAGAGACGGTCGAGAAGCAAGACACAGGCACCTCCTGGAAGCCAGGCTATTCAACACAATCGTTAGAGGGACATTGCAGTTTAGACAATAAAGAGCAGTGCGGCGCTCCATTGAGTGCCCGTGAGTTAAACGGGCATGGCCAATACGTAACCTCTCCAGAGCTGTTTCCCACCGCCAGTTACAGTAGTAGGAGGAAGGCCAAGGAGGACACGTTACCATTAAGAGCTTGCAGAGTGTTACCGGTAATAGAAGACCAACGACCCTGCTAACGGGCACGGATTGAGGAATACATGACTGGGTAGAAGTTGTAATAAGGAACGCATTTGCTGGAAATAGGAAAAGTGCAGATTGCTTCCTTAGGAACGGCATTCGCATGCTCAATTGAGGAAACACTAGTATGACTGAGAACCCAGCAAAAATCTACTGTCGTAAATCTGTTGGAGATTTGAGAGAGTCAAGGTTGAATTTCGACTACTACAGGATGGATAGGATTAAACGGCTACAGAGTCATGAGGGCGACAGTCAACTACGACGATAAAAGAATGTTGACACCGAGAAAGCAGTTGATTAAAAGAACACAAAATTGCATAAAGTTCTGACATGAAGATGCTAGTCTCCGGGGTGCAGGCAGCACAAATAGGTATGGTCTGAAAATAAAATAGAGTAGCCTACACCGTCGGCAAACTAAGACCCATCTGTAAAGACGGAAAATGGACATAATTTGGAATGAAAGCGGCTCACGAAATTGACGTTTTGTCCCGTTTTCTGTTTTGAGTCCTCTGGCTTACTCGCTTAGGTTAGGAGAGGAATCTGTCAATTAATGATTTCTCATAATGTTTTGAAATCTTAAAAAAACTTTTATCTTACCAGAGAACCCTTAACTTGCTGTTTTGGAAAGAAAAATCCTAAATTTAATTTCACCTATTTTTCATTTATAAATAATGTCAATTTTTGGTCGTAGCGCATACAAGCGAAAAGCGACGTGATTTGTAAGAGGAAGAGTTGTAACTCAGGATGAGAAATGATGATTACACGAACCGTGAGAGAATCTCGCAAGCAAGACACAGAAAAAGGAATGTGGTGAAAGGGAACAGGGTCCACAGGACGGAAATTGTCAAAACATGACAAAAGCGAGAGTGAGTGTGTTAGTAGTCTTCGCTACCACGCAAGGTAGAGAAGACAGTAGCGATCACTACGATCATGTAGAGACAGGAAGCCGGTATCAACATGCAGGCTCAGTGTAAGGGACGAACCAAAGGCACCAGATCTGAGGTGTGACCCAGTATGGTGCAGAGCATCAAGACAACGAAGAGAGGAAGGAGATGCAGATGAGTAAACTGGACAGCCATAATCAAATTTAGACAGCATGATAGAAAAATGTAAAGAGAGGAGTATGCGTTTACAGGCTCCCCAGGAAGTATGGGACAAGACGTTATGTAAGTTAAGGGCCTTAGAGCATTCAACTCAGAGGTAAGAGATGTGGAACGAACAAGGCAAATGAGTGTCAAAGATTAACCTCAAAAGTTTAGCAGAATCTTTATACAAAAGAGGATTACCAAAGAGCGGCATAGGGGGAGGAAGAACAACCTGCTTCCGAGTAAAAGTCATAGCACAAGTCTTAGTTGTAGGGAACGTTAAGCAATATTCAAGCTGATATTAATAAAGTTTTCGACTGGGCATCAGAAAATAACATGATGTTTAACAGTAATAAATTTCAGGTACTCAGGTACGGTAAAAATGAGGACCTTAAACATAATACAGAGTACAAAACACAATCAAATGTACCCATAGTAGGAAAACAGCATGTAAAGGATTTGGGAATAATAATGTCTGACGACCTAACGTTTAAGGAGCATAACCAAGCAAATATTGCGACAGCCAGAAAAATGATAGGATGGATTACGAGAACTTTCAAATCCAGGGATCCCATCACAATGGTTGTACTCTTCAAGTCACTTGTGTTGTCCCGTCTTGAGTACTGCTCAGTGCTCACTTCCTCCTTCAGAGCAGAAGAGATTGCTGATATAGAGGGAATACAGAGAACATATACGGCATGCATAGACGCAATAAAGCACCTAAATTATTGGGATCGTCTCAAAGCCCTCCAAATGTACTCACTAGAAAGAAGACGAGAGAGATATCAAATAATATACACCTGGAAGATACTGGAGGGCCAAGTACCAAATCTACACAGTAAAATAACAACGTACTGGAGTGAACGACATGGAAGAAAATGTAGAATAGAACCAGTGAAGAGCAGAGGTGCCATAGGCACAATCAGAGAACACTGTATAAACATCAGAGGTCCGCGGTTGTTCAACGTCCTCCCAGCAAGCATAAGAAATATTGCCGGAACAACCGTGGACATTTTCAAGAGGAAACTAGATTTATTCCTCCAAGGAGTGCCGGACCAACCGGGCTGTGGTGGGTATGTGGGCCTGCGGGCCGCTCCAAGCAACAGCCTGGTGGACCAAACTCTCACAAGTCGAGCCTGGCCTCGGGCCGGGCTTGGGGAGTAGAAGAACTCCCAGAACCCCATCAACCAGGTATCAACCAGGCAATGATGGTGCCCAGGACTATACGGCATCAACAGCAAGTTGAAGCCGCCGTTGGAGGAAAGGCTAGTCATCACTATCCTATCATCCTCGGCATGACTGGATGTCATCGTCTGTTACACAACAGAGGGTAAGATCGTCAACATATAAAACTGAAAAATGTCAGAGGGAAGCGAGGAAAGATTACCAATGAGGGTAACAAGGAAAAGAGTAGTGCAAAGTGTACTCTCTCTTATTGCCGAAAAGATTCAGTGAAAGTGGTACCAAGCCCCACTCTAAAGGAACGACGAGAGAGGAAGCTTTGGTGGAAGAGAGGAAGCTTACCACGGTGGCCAAAAGAATGGAGTTGGGACAGAATATGGTATTGCCAGATGATGTCATGCCTTTTCCTGTTAAAACAGGACAGCAACAAAGGAGGTCTTCACAGCAAAGGCAGAACGAATATAGATCTCCAAGTTCACTAAGCTGCTGCTTAGTCAACTTGGATTCAAGCTGCTGCGACACTTGCAAAAGCCAAATTGAGAAGGAATGTGGTGATAGTGTTCTCATAACCGCATCAGACGTACATTGACTATACGCTCAAAACGTTTGTGGACACAACTCATTAGAGCAATGGGGGCAGAAGTCTTAAGGCGATGTCCCTAGCGATCATGGTTTCAAAATAGGAGGAACAGCCACCTCAAACCAGTCCTCAAACAATGACGACAACTCCAGGATAAGGTTATAAATATTCAGTAAATATTGAAACGAACATGGAGGGAGATGCCAAACCATCTCATAATGAATGTTATTCAAATGCAGGCGATGAGTCACAATAACGTGGCTGAAGTATGTTGACCAACCACACACTAGAAAGGGACGATGACGTCTCGGTTCGTCCTGGACCATTCTCAAGTGGATTTTGATGATTGAAGGAGGAGAAGGCAATAATGTTATTCAAGCCCACCGCTGTAGAACCGCAGATTGTCAGGGAAGATTGGAGTTCTGAGAGAGAGAGAAGGAATCATTAAAGGGAAGCTGAAGATGAGTGCGAAATTCTACGAGACAAGATTCAAGAAGGGGCTTACGAGGAAGGAACATAGAAGGAAGGTGGGAACCGGAGCTAACAGTCAAAAAGTGTGAACCCAATACTGTCGCGACCGACACCAGATCCGCCACAATAAAACCACAGAGGGGAAGGACTGGTGAGACATCTGGAACAAACTTTCCCATTATCTTACGGATTTTCTTCGGGATCTGGGAGACATGAGTGTCAATAATCATGATGCAGACATAAAATTTGCAATTCACTCGCTAAGCCATATGTATGGCCCTATGGACAACTGCACTCGCCTTCAGAAAAAAAAATAAAAAAATCAGGCGTCTGTCGGCGACAGTGTTTTTTCCAAACTGCACACTGACAGTGGACAGCCCGAGCACAGTCTGTATTTCACCAAGGAACACACTTCCATGTGCCTCAGGAAGTAGAGCGAGGAACAGAGTGGAAGGTAGCGTCGAATACGGTGTCATATAAAAAAAAAGGAGAACTCGAGGGAGAGGCAGATCAAAGAAGTCGGAAAGAGTAGAACGGAAGGAGAAGAGATTCTAGTTAGCCTTAGCAAACTACCACCTAGGGAAGAAGAGGGGAGGGTGAAAAGAGAAGGTAACAAGGATGGGAAAATGGTCACTGATATGGAGTTCATAAAGAATCTGTCATGTGAAATTTAAATAAAGAGAAGACAAATAGAGAGAACGATCAAGAGAGAAAAGGAACCGAGTGCACGAGTGAACATGAGTGCGTTCACCAGAATTCAAAAGAGACAGGAGAAGTGAAGACAAATGTTTCGAGAAGGTGGCCCTGTTGTAATCCACAAGAATATTAGCTAGCGAATCAAGCACTACAACACTTAACAAATGATGAGTATAAGTACATGTAAAGTATTCAGACTGGCCAAACATCGAGGTAAGGTAAAAGGTCAGTCGTTGCCTACCCAAAC